AATTATAATCTCAAAATAACTTTGAATACTATTAAAGAGCAATTATTTTTTAGCTACTTATTAGCAATAGTTATTGATGAAAACAGTTTTTTATTGAGAGTTATTGCTATAGTAATTTCCATAATTACTTTGGTAGTGTGAAATTTGAAAGTAAATAATGCTTGAAATTGAGTATTATGATCAATGATTGCAATATGAAAACTATTTTGCACATGGTGATACTATGAATTTGGCTTATCAGCCGGAAATTAGTTTCCCTAAAACGTGTTGCTTAAATTTATGATCACATAAATTTAAGCAACACGTTTTAGGGAAATTTATGTGATCATAAATTTAAATAATGGATAATACTTGAATTGGTCTGTGGAGTTCCAATCATTGCTAATAAAACCACAAAATTTTGGTTGTATGGGTTTCAGTTTTTGTGGCATAGGCTTTGTTAAGGCTTGATGACTAGAAATATTACTACCATTATGACATGTATGTGTAATTATTTAGCATTGATATGTTTCATTCATGTTCTATAGTAATCACCTAGTTGGGAGTTATAATTTGCCCATGTTGAATGGAAAATCAAAATTAGGGAATTAATAAGATTTTATGTGCGCGGCTTTATAAGAAGGAAGTTACCTGATGGTGGACATAAATGAACATAATGGGAAAGTTTGGAAAATGCTTAATCAAATTATAGTAAAGTGCCTTGGTCCTAATTTCCATAATGTTTCATGCTTGAAATTATGGACTTATAAGAAAACATGTTTATATAATGATTGTGTTCATAAGAGATAAACTCCAGAATCGGAGTTTAGCTAAGCATGTTGTCTTATAAAAAATTAGATATATGTTATATCATATGCAAATACTTATGATGATAGTAAGTGCATTTATTTACTTATCATAAATGGTGGTGAATTAAGTATTATTGAAATGCAACCATGAATAATTTTGGGTATTAGTAGGGCATAAGTTTTGTGCTACAATAACCATATTAATGTGGAATATGACTATTGTAACATAATTACCTCGCGTTGGAATAGTGGCATTTTAACACTATTGTTAATTAAATGGGATCACCATTGTTGAACCGTTTTGTGTAGTTAATCAGGTGGACACAAGTAGTAATTCCATGCGTGGAAAAAGGATTAACATGGTGTTTCCCATTGAGTTATATCTTTTGGATATAAAACTCTAAGAGGTTTGTTCTCTATAAAGAGGTTTTAATCTCCACAAAATTGAGATTGAAAATCTATTCGGTAAAAGAATTCCGACATTGAAAAGTGGTACAAATGGTGAGTGAGGCACCACTTGGTGACTTCTTTACACAACATAGAATTGTCTATGACGTGTTTACCATGGTTACCTCTATTTAATAGAATTCTCAACGTGAAAATCATAATTTGAAAAAAAAAATATTTGTGAAACTGATATTTTCAGTTCAATTCAATCCAAAGGTGGTGGAAGTTTTTTTTTAACAAGTGATTACCTTATTAAGGTAAAAGAAAAGAGACCATCCTACGAACACTTGTGAGTGTGGGAGTGTCTGGCTAAGGTAGTTGCACCTCCGCCAAAGGCGGTAAAAATTGAACCTAAGACGGTCGCTTGCATTTGGCTATGCACAAAATAGTAATGTATATTGGTTCTTAGTGCATGATTTGAAGATTTCGGATATACACAAGAATTCAGTTATAGGGTCAAGAAAATGCATATTTCTTTGGAAATGTATTTCCTTGTAAGTCTAAGGATGAAGCTAGCTCATCAGCTAGTTCATCAAGACGAACTTATGGAAAAGTTCATGACTAGGTTGAAGTTCAAGATGTTGAACCAAGATGAAGCAAAAGGGAAAGAATGAAAAAATTATTCGGTGATGATTTTGTAACCTATTTGCTAGAAAGAGAACCTTTAACTTATGCCGAGACAGTAAGTTCTTTTGAGAGGCCTTTATGGGAAGAAGCCATAAAGAACGAAATTGATTCAATTTTGTAGGACCACACTTGGGAGCTTAATTGATCTCCCACATGGAAGTAAGCCGTTGGGATCCAAATGGATTTTTAAGACGAAAATAAAACATGATGTTTCCATTGATAAATACAAGGCCAGGCTTGTAATCAAAGGATATAAACAACGAGAAGGTTTAGACTACTTTGACACGTATTCTCCGTGACGAGAATAAAGTCCATAAGGATGATACTTGCTATCGCAGCCTTAAGGAATTTGGAAAGTACATCAAATGGATGTTAAAAAAGCTTTGTTAAATGGAGATTTAGATGAAGAGATCTATATGGAACAACCCGAGGTTTCCCGAGCTCCAGGTACAGAAAAAGAAAGTTTGTAAACTAGTAAAATCTTTGTATGATCTAAATGAAACGCCTAAGAAGTGGCATGAAAAGGTTGACCATGCAATGAGAGTGACAAATGCGTGTATGTCAAGGAGACAGAAAACGATTATGTCATTTTATGTCTAAATGTAGAGGATATACTCATTGTTGGTAGTAGTGACAAGTTGGTCAAATCTACTAAGAACATGTTGAATTCGAAATTTGACATGAAAGACATGGGTCTAGCTGATGTGATTTTAGGTGTTAAAATAATAAGGACAACAAATGGTCAAGTTTTGAGTCAAGCTCATCACACAGACAAAATTCTAGATAAGTTTAACAAGAATGATTCTGGAGTCGCGAAGACACCATTAGATAATAGTGTCCATTTATCCAAGAATCATGGACAAGGTATATCCCAAGTGGAATATTCTCAGATAATAGGAAGTCTGATGTATCTAATGAGTTGTAGTAGGCCAGATATTGTTTATGCTGTGAGCAAGTTGAGTTCATACACGAGTAATCCTAGTGTTGAATATTGGACTGCTATAATTAGAGTACTGAGGTACCTCAGACATATGCGTGATTAGTGATTGCATTATACCAGATATCCATCTGTGTTAGAAGATTGGATATATGATATAAAGGACTTACAATGCACAAGTGGCTACGTGTTTACACTAGCTGGGGCAGCTGTGTCTTGGAAATCCTCGAAACAAACTGTAATAGCCAGATCCACAATGGAATCTAAGTTCATTGCCTTAGATAAGTGTGGTGAGGAGGCTGAATGGCTATGCCATTTTCTGGAGGATATTCCAAAGTGGGAAAGACCTGTGCCACCGATTAGTATTCATTGTGATAGTCAATGGGCGATTGGAAGGGTATAGATTACTATGTATAATGATAAGTCGAAACATATTCGTCGTCAACACAATAGCATTAGGCAACTCCTCTCAACAGGAATTATCACAATTGACTATGTGAGGTTAAAGGATAATCTTACGGATCCGCTAACCAAAGGGTTAAATCGAGAGGCAGTTGAGAGATTGACCAAAGGAATGGGTGTAAAGCTTGTGAAGGAATAAAAGTCTTAAAAAGGAAAATCCAACCTAGTTGACTGGAGATCCCAAGATCTAGGTTCATAGGGACAACCTAATCATAAGACTCAATGTGGTTATTGCGGGGGAAACTTCGACTCATTCTTGTCATCAAACAGTGATATGACGGAACAGGTTAGCAGTCGGTTGCTTTAATGTCTCTTAAGTGAGTAATAACATTTACTCTAAACTTAAGTAGTCAAGAGAGAAGTGGGGCCGCTTCAAAGGAGGACTGTTAAGGCTCAGTTCTTTAGAAACTCTCGCAGAACTAGGATCTGTCCATGGCCAAAATGGGCAAAATCATGAGAACGGAACTAAATAGGAATAGTTCCTCTGTATTGTATGTGGGTTTCTTTACACAATACAGTTGGACAGTTCAAGAACATCACGTCTACTGGACAACTAGTAGAGCAAACATACTTTACAAGAAGGAAGTTCAAAGAGTAAAACCTCCTTTCTCTCTATGCAGGGATCAGTTGGTGAACACCATCGTAATCATTGTATTCAAAATAATATCTCATTCATGTGGGTGATTGTTGGAATTTGAGTCCAAGTAGAATGAGAATTTGGTTTCTCAAGAGATTGGAATCGAATATCGAACCGAACTTTCGTGAACCTGATCAACCCATGTTGTGCTCCGGTTCAAATTAGATTTTTTCAGTCAAACAGAGAGGTTAATATATAACGTCAGATTTAATTCTGTGGAATAAATTTTGGACATTTAAATGGTCAAATGAATGGCTGGTTTAATAAAAAACCGTTTTCAGCTTTATTTGAATTAAAGTACCAGCATTACTTGACCATTAAAAACTTTGAATGTGAAGGTTAATGTGGTTTGAATGTACAAAACGTTTAAGTATTTTTCAAGCCATAAACTACACATTAAATTGCAATTAAATGGTGAAAACCGTTTAAAATTAACCTTGAGCAAATCAAAGGTTCCTCTCCACAATATAAATAGTGACTCATAGTTGAACAATTTTGAGACACCATTTCCCTTCCTGTCTTCCAACTGTCTTTCGAAGACTTTTTCCCTTCCTGTTTTTTGGTGTTCATCAGTTTGTTCTGAGTTCACGTTCGCTTGTAGAGTTGATTTTTGCTAAGTAGTTTATATGTTTCCATTGTACTCTGGGAAAAAGATGCTCACGAATCCTCTAGCATCTCATGAGGGGACAAATCTGTTTTAAGAAAATCGTGTTCTTACGAGTCTCGGATTTTCGTTTATCCAAATTCATCTATAGTCTTTGCAAATACTTTGCCTATTTATTCCAAATCAATTTCAAAATGGCGATTAAATTCTTTGTGAAAGAGAAAGTGTATATATAATGAAAAAGTGACGACACCAAAAAAAAAATCAACATTTTTTAGTATGTTAAAAGGCCCAGACAAGATAATAATTTAATAATTAAGGATTTAATTTTTCACGTAATCTATGGGTATTTGAAGGTGATACTCTTGGAATGATAATTAATTGATGTCACGCAGGGGTCTATCAGAGATTAAAAAAAATAATAATAAAGGACTAAAATTATAATTATCGTCGTTAAGTTGTAGGGTTTTGACTTTCGACTTATGCGTATCGATTGTATATTGTGGAAGTTTTCATTATCATCATCTGCTCCGTTATTTCTCTGCATAAAACCTCGAACCCACCAATCCATGAATGAAATGTAATTAGATTATTCTACCTATATATATGGTCTCGCCATTCCGGGTTTGTTTGTTGCGCTTCCCAAATTCTTAATTAGGCGAACTGCAAGATAACTTAATCCTTTGTGCAAAAAGGTAATCAAGCAACTCAATCTCCCTTATGGTCGGGTGATCTCCTTCTTCCCTTTCTGTTTTGTTTTCTTAAATTGTTCTTGTTAATGGAATCAACATATATTATGGGGTGGGTTTTTTAAAGACGGATTCCAATAAACTGGCGGCCGGCGGCTGTAATTACTTGTCTTGGTTATTTCAAAGCAACAAATAGGATGGTGAAAGAGTAGGGCTGGTGATTGTAACAATCAATTCGATGATTTAGATTTCAACAAGAGCAATCCATATATTAATGAAGAGAGCTTTCTTAGCTATTTTTTTTCCCCCTCACTTCCTTAAGAAAGTACTTTTTATCGTAAAGATTATCTTATCGAAATTAAAATAATTTTAATGTTGATTATAATTGGCTTTCTATTTTGTCAAAATTTGATTATTTTAGCTGTTAATGTTGATTTTTTTCTTTTTTTTTTTTGTGAACCAGCTGTTGATGTTGATTACTAGTTTTGATTGGTTGGAATCGGATGTTCGTTTGGGGGGTTTCTTGCTCTTTTTACCTTTATGAAATCTGGAACAAAATCTTGGCCGCTTCAGTTGAGTTTTTTTTGCAGGATTGGCTTTTCATGTGTTATTCTTTTATATGTATATCTAATTTAATATTAACTTTCATGGTAGCAGAATTAATGGAATCGAGGATTGAAAAACATTCACCCCAAAAGAGGCAAAAGCTTTGTGATGACAGTGGCGAGTCTGATATTCCGGTCGACCGAATCAGCAAGTTACCCGAATCAATCATTTGTCACATTTTCTCGTTCCTCCCCACAAAAACTGTGGTTGCGACAAGTTTTGTGTCCAAGAGTTGGAAATCCTGCTGGACAAAAGTAACCAATTTTCATTTCGACAATCGAACGTGGCGAAGATCTTCAAAAGGGTACGATGGCGATGATGTTCCGAGGATGAATTTCGTAGAGTTCGTTCACATGGTTTTGCTGAACCACAGCCCTAACCTATCCATCAACAGGTTCCGTCTAAAACTTTATAACTTTAAATTCGAATCCATTTGTTTTTACACTTGGGTCAACATCGCAATTGCCCGGAATCTTCGAGTTCTTGATTTGGATATCGACTTTAAAGATCACAACTTTCGCAAAGATAATTATAAGTCTCAGTTACCAGGTGCACTCTACACTTGCGAGACCCTTGAAGTTTTGAAATTGAGTGGGTTGGGAGTCTACATCAAAGTCATCCGCACTGTATGTCTTCCAAAACTTACCGATTTGGAACTGAAAAAGGTTACATATGAATCGGATGACTCTCTTCGTAATCTGATTCCAGGTTGTCCCCTCCTCCAATCTTTAAGAATCGAAAGGCATCGCCAAGATAACATGGTGGTTTGTACCATTTTTTCCCGTGTACTTAAGCATTTTCGGTATTTTTTTGCGACGACGACGGGGTCTAATAATAATGCAGCTCTTCATTTCAAGTTGGAAATCGATGCGCCTGCACTTGAATTTATCGACCTAACCGATTTCGGGTCTAAGGAAATCATTTCACTGCAAGAATTAAGATGTTTGAATGAGGTATATGTCCATTCTTCGACTCCACATAAATCCACCATTGGGTTACTTCAAGCTTTTCATCATGTGAAGAGTCTGGTGTTGTCAACCACAACTATGTCAACACTTATGGGAGCCAACCACAGGTTAATTCTCGCAAGTTTCGAAAGGCTGACGAAATTGTTCGTCCCAATTGACTGCTGTGATCAACTCAGAAGTGTAATGGATTTGATTGATTCTTGTGCGGCTTTAGAGATACTCAATATCATGAACAACCGAAGTGTTCAACAAAGCCAAAGCAGGAATTGGAGAGATCCCGAAAGTGTGCCCAAATGCTTGTTAAACAGTGTCACAGAGTTTTCGTATTCAGGATTTCAAGGGCTTGAGGATGAGATGGCCATGTTTAAGTTCATCTCTAAGCATGCTTTATTATTGACAAGGGTTCATATAACTAGCCCTCTCGGCTGGGGTCCGCGTCCCGAAGAAGAATTTAGTTCACTTGAGAAGATATTTATGCCGTCCTCGGGGCTGTACCCGGAACGTAAAATCTTCTTCAGATGAAATCAGAAGGATATATAATTAGAGAGATGACTGTTCTTTTTTTTTTTTTGTATAATTAACTAAGATTGTGTCTTTATATGTGACAATTTTAATGTTGTAGATGTAGTTTTGTAAATACTTCATAAACTGCATGTATTCTATGTTAAATTCTTTGGTGATTTTGAGAATTGAAAAGAAATGTAGTTAGTTAGTTGCTTATATAGCGTTATTCTATGTTAAATTCTTTGGTGATTTTGAGAATTGAAAAGAAATGTAGTTAGTTAGTTGCTTATATAGCGTTAGTTAGGAGCTCGTTTTGGTTTTCCTGTGCGAACAGAATAGACAATATTCAAGATTAGTAATTAGTTAAGAAAACAACAACTAACATAATAGGAATAAAACACACAAAATATATGTTATCCGGAGCAATCGTGGTAGGCGGGGATCTCACTTTCTTTAGGTGATCCACACCATTCGCATTAATATATTCGGTGCAGCAGGTCTTAGCAGACAATTTTTTCTTTCCAAGATATAAAATTTAGTTATTTAGACTACATTCCATACATTTTTCCAAAAAAAAAAAAAAAAGAACACCCCGAAAATGAACAAGAATAACAATGATATGTACCAGGGTGTCAATTCGAGATATCGAGTCAATTTCGTGTTCTGTATTTCACGTGATTACTAATATTTTTTGAACAAAAATACAATAAAAACTTAAATCGGGTTAATCTTGTCGTGTCGTCGTGTCAAAAAAAAATTGAACAGCTATTAATTTATGATTGTTGGTATATTACACATTAATTTTATTGACCGTTTTGCTCCACAAATGCATTAGCTGTAATAATACACATCTAAGGCCTCGGATTGATGAAGAATCTGTTACACTCATTTTCAATAACTTATGCAACATTTAATCAATAATATAATGATCACTAATTAAACATTTTATTAAAATATTCCAACGCCAAATGGCAAACGGACGCAGCTGAAAGCCCAAAGCCCACATTGGTTTTTCTTTTTGTTTCTTTTTTTAGAAAGGGATCTTTAACAAATTAGGTTTCCACCGAAAGAAATTGCAGCAGCCCGCGAGAAATTTGTTGAAAAGCAAAGAGCTCAATCCTCAAGGGAATCGATGAATGAAGAGGGTGAGGATAGAACCCACAAAAAGCTGAAATTAAGTTCGAATTCCGGCGACGATTCTGATGGTAGTCATCTGATCTCCGTCGACCGGATTAGCAATTTGCCCCAATCAATCATTTGCCACAGCCTCTCGTTTCTTCCTACCGAATCAGTGGTCGCGACTAGCCTCTTGTCGAGAAGCTGGAGATATAATTGGACCAAAGTAAACGACTTTGAATTTAGCAATAACTCGTGGCAACAAAGCAAAATATCTTCTTCTTCTCCTCTCCTCCTTTTGATACATACGGTGATGTTGATTTTCTGGACATGCGTTTTGCCAACTTTGTTAGCATGGTTTTGCTCAATCGGAGTGCGGAGGTCTCCATTAACAGGTTTCGTCTCGAACTGTGTCACTTCAAATTCGGATATATTTGTCTTCCAACCTGGTTCAACATTGCAATTGCCCGAAATCTTCGGGTTCTTGATTTTGCAAATCACGTCCATTGGGGTCGATTTCAGTTACCAGGTGCAATCTTTACTAGCCGGACATTAGAAATTTTGAAATTAACTGGGTGGGGTATTTCAGTTTATGCCTCCCAACCCATTTTTCTTCCAAAACTTACTGGTTTGGAATTGATACTGGTTAGATATGAATCTGAGGAGGCTTTTGGTAACCTGATTTCTGGTTGTCCACTCCTCCAGTCTCTTATAATTCAAAGGTTTGCCCATGATAGAATGGTGGATTGTAGGATTTCGTCCCCTGTGCTGAAGCGTCTCGAGTACATACGTGAAGGGATTCGAGGACCCAAAGACGACTCTCCTCTTCATCCTAAGGTGGACATTGATACACCTGCACTTGAATGTCTCCTCATAAAGGTGATTCGTTCGAAGGAAATAATTTCTGTGGGAAGGTTAACTAGTTTGAATGAAGTTGATGTTGATATCCGGCCTAATGCACACGATTTGACTGTTGGATTAATTCAGGGCTTCGGATGCGTGGAAGTCCTGAAATTTTCAAGCCGAACTCTTGAAAATCTTATCGCAGACAACAACCAACTGTCAGCCATAAGTTTTGAGAGACTAACCAAATTGGTTGTGCGAATTGATTACTCTAAACAATTGAGCTATCTAATGGATTTGATGGCTGGTTGTCCCTGCCTAGAGTTACTGAGCATCACACATGAAAGCAAAGGGCAAATTCGCAGAAGAGAATGGAGAGATCCTATAACTGTTCCCACATGCCTGTTAACCAGTCTAACAGAACTTTACTACAGGGGATTTCGGGGCTTAGAAGATGATGAGATGGATATGTTTAGATTCATTTCAAGTCATGCTTCCGTGATGAAACGAGTTGTTATATCGCAACCCAGAAAGTGGGCTGCTCATCCCAAAGAAAAAAGATATCAGACTAGTGAAGAACATGTTCCTGTCCTCCAAAGCATGTCCAGCTTTTAACTATGTACTATGTTGATATCGCATCAACGGGAATTCAGGAAGGCAACGGACGGTATCCTCTGAAAGATCTTTCACTAAGCAATTTTTATTTTGTGGATTGCATCTAGGTTCTCTAGCTGTTTATATTCGAATCTACTGTAGAAATTTTGTTGTGGCTTTTTGCTCTAAGTAATTTTCTTCCTTATTATCATTGCGGGGTTGCGTGTTTCAAATTTGTAGGGTCTTTATAGTTTGTGGTCTTGGGTTGTAGGAAGATCCATTTCCTTTTGATGGCTTTAGTTTCTTGGATTTTTCCAAGTTTTGTTATCATATGTGTTAGATTGATCGATTGGCAAGTTTGTTGGGGAACATTAACTGCAATAGAAGTTCTGAACTCAGGTGGAACCGCGGAAGAGCAATACAGTATTTGGTTGGATCCAAATATATAGTCCCCATCTGCTTCATGTTATCTACTACTAGTCTCTGTCACACAAGTTTGTTATTGGGCTTGAAGGTTTCCATGACGAACTCTCCACGTTTCAGTTGATTGCAAAAACATGCTTTAGTTTTTTTTTTTTTAAAAAAAATAATAATAAACCACCTAATTAGAGAAGTTACATAATGCCTGACCAAATTACATGACATTTTCAACTAGATATCTATTCATTTTCTCTTTTTCACAATACATTAATTTCTTCCCAAGTTCTTGAATGTCCTCTCCAAGATGTGGTAGAGAAAATTGAGGGCCTATGAAACAGCGTTGCTATCATGACATTATGTGTCTAGAGTATACATCTTGTTAACCCTTGAGAAATGGCAGCTTGCAAACACGATAAGCGCATGCTAAACCTTCAGCCTGTGTGATCTGCATAAAAAAGCTCATACCTGTATGGCAAATGAGAGCCTTGGTTTGGAGGTTATTTCTCAGGTTCCATCAGCTCGCTTGTCCTCTGAATTCCCATCAACACAAATAAAATGAGTTGACACCGAAAGTTGTACTTGTTCTTGAACCTGATGTTCTCCAGTTCAGACGAGCTGTCCTTGAGGTCGATCCATAACGTTAAAGAATTTTAATTCCTGCCAGGATTGATTTTGATTTTCCAAAGGGTGCAATTATTTGTTTTTCCAGAGTTTTTCATTTCTTGAAATCCAAATAGACTAAAGTATGAAATATGATCGTTGAAGAGCCTACTGATCTGGTGCAAACAATAACCAATAACCTGGCTAAGAAACTTTCCCCGTCCCCTTTCTCAAAATCCAACCCCGGTGATGAACTTCTCCACACCCATTTAGAGCGTGAAATTTAGTGATGAAAAATTACCAATAAGGGAGGAGCCGGTTTGGGTTACATCAATTCTGAGAGACCAGCATTTTTACTCCTTCTAACAACACGTTAAGTGTTGAGTTTGTGCATGTTTACATCTTACATCCGCCACGAGTCCTTCCAAGTAGCGATGGTAGTATTTTACTCAATAAGGTAGTCATGCCCTCTAGAGTATCTCTAGTTTGTGAACTCAAAATTTAGAGATGGAATCCATGGACATCTTGAGAGATGTCAACACGTGGTGAAACCTTTGACTGTCGAGTTAGATAGTTGTTAGTATATCATCCTTTAAATTTTAAACAGGGAAACCAAAAAAAAAGAAATTGTGATGAAAGAATGTTCATCACAATTTTGGTCATCAGAGAAAGAAAAACCAAGATGCAATATTTTGTTGCTAAGTTAAGTTACACTATGAGCCGTATGATTCCATTCCATTCCATTCAATTAGCCTCACATACCTAGAGGTTGACATGCGTGCAATTTCCACAAGCATCTGTCATATTTAGTACTGTGTCAAAAAAAAAGAACTTTTTTTTATAAAAGGCATTGAGTTTTTATTCTGAGACTTACTGAGTGAATAGTAGAGTAATATAAAAAAAAAAAAAAAAAAGTTACTTAGTTCTCTGGACTGGATCATGCTTAACCTTCCTGGATGTCAAGAAGGCCCAAAATAATTCAGCGCCCAGCAAATGAATATCAAAATGACTATATGGACTAGTCCACAGCAGTTTGTCATTTTTGAAGCGGCTTATGCAGAAGAAACAGCTTTTTCAACTCCGATTAGGTTTCCACTTTCCACTGAGGGCATGTACAACAATGGTTTAATTGTTGTATCATGTCAGGTTAAAATATTGATGTTGTTGTTGGAGGCTATATAAACTTGTCAGTTGTGTCAAATATTTCAAGCGCTAAATTCTGATAAGAAGTGGGACAATGGCGGGGTCCATTCCATGCCCATCGCCTCCAAAGCCTTTTTCTTTTTCAATGGCTTTTGTTTTTTGCTATTTTCTCCTCTCTTTTTTTTTTTTTTTGTAACCGTAACTTATTTAATTTTTTTCCCACAATGAAATAACAATTTTTTCCTTTCCCATTTCTTTATTAATATATTATTCACTCGATGATTATTAAGCTTTTTTATATTCTTGTGTTATTTAATTATGTTTTTAGATTTTTAAAAAAATAATAAAATTTTATAATGTACTTTAGAGGTCATATAAATAAAATAATTATGAAAAATAAATTTAATTATTATTGCAAGTAAATGTAATTATTTTTTATAAAAAGTAAAGTATTAATAGTAGGATAGGTGTGGGGTAATAATAATGAGGTAGTTGTGAGTCCAAAATTATATAGGTAGCGAGTGTAATATTGTTGTAGGAAAAAGTGTGTAAAGTGAGAGTGTAGTAGAATACTGACGTGGCTGTGTAATGTTGTGTTGAATTATATGTATTGTTGTTGATGCTCTGAGGAAGTAGCCGTGGAGAAATTCTCCAGATATATTTGCTCAATCCTCAATGGAATTGAGGAATGATGAAATTCCAAAACGAAAAAAGTCGAAAAGATGTTATAATTCCAGTAGTGATCGGAACCTTGTCGATGGTCTTAGCAACCAACCCGAATCCATCATTTGCCACATTTTCTCGTTTCTTCCCACAAAATCAGTTGTTGCAACAAGGTTCTTGTCCCAATTTTGGGAACATCGTTGGACTAAAGTCACCGTCTTTCATTTTAACAATCGAGAGTGGCGTAATCGAAGGACTCGGAGGATGAATTTTGTAGAGTTCGTTCACATGGTTTTTGCAAAATCAGAGTGCTGGACTCTCCATTGACAGGTTTGGTCTCAAACTATGTGACTTCAAATTCGAATCCCTTTGTCTTTACACATGGATTAACACTGCAATCGCCCGAAATGTTCGAGTTCTTCATCTTGTGATTGAGTTCACGTATAAGTTTGACAATGATAACTATAGATCTCAGTTACCGAGTGCACTCTACACTTGCGGGACTCTGCAAGTTCTGAAATTGAAGGGGAGGGGTGTTTGTGTTAAAGTTACCCGCCCAGTTAACCGCCGAGTACGTACGTTATCAGGGCACTTTCGCTGGCAAGCCATTTGAGGCCGATGCCCAATATAAGCTCGCAATCAATACTCCTGCCCTCGAGTTTCTTCTCGTAGAGGAGGGCAATACCTCGAAGGAAAGAGTTTCTGTGCTAACGTTAATCTCTTTGAATGAAGTGGATGTTGATATCTATCCTCCTTCACATGAAATGACGGTTGGCCTCATTCAAGCTTTTGAGTGTGTTAAGGTTCTGAAATTATCATCCAAAACTATCGATAATCTCATCGAAGCCAACAACAAAGTGTCAGCAGGTTTTAGTTTTGTGAGATTAACCAAATTGGTGTTTCAAATTGGTTGTTCTAAGCAACTGAGCTATATCATGGACTTACTTGATTGTTGTTCAATGCTATAGGGGATTCCAAGGCCTAGAGGATGAGATGTGCATGTTTAGGTTTATTTCAAATCATGCTTCAGTGTTAAAGGGAGTTGATATCGTACCCAGCTGTCACATGTTTCCGGATCTCGAAGAAGAAATTAGACAACTAGAGAAGATGTTCATGTTCTCTAAAGCGTCTCCAGTTTGTAACTTCTCAATCTGTTGAGATAGCATCAATTGGTAGTATTCAGGAAGATGTCTCAAGGACCTTCACACTAGCCAACTTCCATTTTTTGGAGGGTCTCTAATTCAAATTCAATGTGGGTTGGTTGTTTGCTGAACCTGAAAGTACTTATTTTGCTTATTATCAGCACTGGTGTTCCCTTCTTTGGGTTGGCAGGTTTCTGATAATTTTTGGTCAACTGGGTTGAATGAAAATGCATTCCTTTTGATGGCTGCAGTGCACTGGATTAGTCTTGCTTCTCATCATCATAAGTTTGTTGGAAAACTCTCGTTGAAATTTCTAGTTAGGACTTGAATTGTAACTCTGCTTCCAACAAAGAAGTGCTTGTGGATCAACTTTTCTGTGCAGTGGGAAGAAGATGATCTTAGCTAGTCTGGACGATTATGTGTTTTGAAGTTCTTATGCTGTAAATGATAATCCCCAGTTAAAGTTTTCATATCTCTGCAACAAGGATCTTTCTCGATGTTATTCTGCTAAGGCATTCCTATTTGATTCACAATTCTAGTTCGCGAGTTACATGGATTATATTTAACAACTCTGCCTACCAGACATTTACTTCAGGTTGATTGTGCTAAATTCTTGAAATTTGTAGTACAATCTCATAACTCAATATGGACTCTTTTTTTTTTTTCAGGACAAGAGAATAAAACAATATTACAATAGCAAGGTAATCAGTTCATATTACAATATTAACAATGGAAATAAAAACTGTACTCTCTATATCAGACGGAATTTAGTTAATATCGGAGGTTTTGGCCCTTCTGGAAAAATGTTATCTATCATCGCACATTGCGAGAGGACCGTGCGTTTTTGGATCAATGCTAAAACCTTCCATCCATTTTATCGTTTTGGTCATGGACGAAAGTTTCCAGTTGGCTTAAGTTCATCGGTATCTCCATTTCTTCATTTACTTCATAAAAATAGCATTAAAATTCGATTTCAGTAAGGTCTTCCATTGAAAAGCAGTCCCCACAATAATATTCTCTCACAGGTTGATCTTGATGGAATCAATAAATAAGGAGAATCCAACGCAAAAGGAACCATCAAACTGTTCCTATGATTATAAGGGTTCTGATGATGTTGTTGGTCATGATTTGATCTCGGTTGATCGGATTAGCAATCTACCTGAGTCGATCATTTGTCACATTCTCTCTTTTCTTCCAACTGAAACCGTTTTTGCAACCAGTTTTTTGTCCAAAAGTTGGAGGCATCACTGGACTAAAGTAACCGATTTTCATTTCGACAATCGGTTTTGGCATAGTGGAAGGAGGGCTTCTTCCAATGTGCGTGGTTATGATGTTCAAAAGATGAATTTTGTAGACTTCGTCCATATGATTTTGCAGAATCACAGTGATGAAGTCTCCATCAATAGATTTCGTCTCAGAACAGTTGACCTCCTCCCATTGCGATCAACTTCTCTTCACACATGGGTCAACACTGCGATATCTCGAAATGTTCGTGTTCTTGATTTGGAGATTTTCTTCGAAAACGTTGAATATAACTCTGCTGCAACTAAGTTTCAATTACCTGATGCACTTTACACTTGCGGTACACTAGAAGTTTTGAGATTGAGTGGGCGGTATATTTGCGTCAAACTCATTCGTGAGGTTTGTCTTCCGAAACTTACTGATTTGCTTCTGAATTTAGTTACATATGAATCGGATGAGGCTGTTTGTAACCTTATATCTGGTTGTTCGATCCTCCAATCTCTGAAGATTATAAGGTTTCACAATGATAACGTGGTAAGTTGTAAAATTTCTTCACCTTCACTAAAACATCTTGTGTATGCGCATAAGAAGTGCGGAAATCACTGTGAATTTGATGATGAACTTTATTTGAAGCTGATGATTGACACTCCTGCACTTGAATACCTTTCCTTAAGAGATCTCGAGTCGAAGGAAATAATTCTCGTTCAAGCCTTAAAGTCTTTGAATGAAGTGAAGGCCAACATCCATTCTAATCCACCAGAATTAGTAGTTGGGTTGGTTCAAGGTTTTCATCATGTGAAGATTATGAAATTATCAGTCCAAATCATGGTGTCTCTTATGTATGCAACCAAAAAAATGTCTGTGAATTTCGCGAGATTAACGAGATTGGATATCTCGATCGATTGTTGTGATCATTTGAGTTGTCTGATGCATTTGATCGATTGTTGCTCGGCATTGGAGGTGCTCACCGTTATGAATTTCCGGAATCGCCGACAAATTCGCAACCGGAGTTGGATGAATCCTGTTACTGTTCCCGGATGCTTTAGTTCTAGTCTTAGACAAGTTTATTATTGGGGATTTGAAGGGCTTGAGGATGAGATGGCCATGTTTGATTTCATTGCAAATCATGCTTTAGTGCTGAAAAAATTAGATATCATACACCCTCGTAACTCTGGTCCTCATCCCAAACAAGAATTTAGCTTACTCAAGCAGATGTTCTCTGGAGTGTCTTCAGCTTGTAAACTTTCATTTTCTTGAGAAGACGCATCAATGCATATTTTGGAAGTTTTTAGCACAACTACATCTTTTGAGGGCAGTAGCTTTAAGCTAATACAGAAGATAACCTAATGGTGGGTTCCCTCGAGATGAAGATAAATTGGCAATTCGTCTGGATTTTGTTCCTGCACAGTCGGATCTGTTCTTTTCGGATCAATGGGGGCAATTCCTGGTGAGTTACGTTTTGGAAAATGGAACAGAGCTTTTAGAACACAAACGTTAATGCCTTGAAGCTCCTTGTCGTTGTGTGGATATGGCTCAGACGGCTGAAGGAAGTTGCCTGCTCATCAGATGCCTTGAAATATCAGATTTTGGGCGAACCCATCTGAGTAATAATGAGATTATGAGGAATCGATCAGTGCTTGATGAAGGTGAATTTGGAAAACTGGTTGTTCAAAAAGCTCTCAGTCTGGAACAATTAACGACCTGATTGGATGGATTACAGCTTCCATTTGAGTAGGTTTTAAAGGATAGTATGAATCATTAGGTAGTATTATTACTTTGGACTATGATTACATATTCTGTGTTAGTCCTGCTGATGATCTAAATACATTGCAAAGTTCCCTTTTTAAGTATCATTTTTATATATTTAGTTGCCACAATTATTTCTATCAAGGACGGAGTGATATCCCTTTTACCCTATTAAAACAGAATACAGGATGTTGATGTGGCAACTTCTTATTAAAAAAATTTGGCTCCAAATGCACCATATTGCTTTAACCATTCTGCCACGTGTTATCCCCTTTTAAAAGAAAAAAAAAAACTTCTTATCTGGAAAAACAAAAGCTAATTTACAAAAATATCTACACAATTTTAACTCATAACACTTATCATTTATCAATCAAATTAAGATAAGATTTAAATTTGTCCATAAACTTATCCCTTTTATTAATTCACATTCTTTTGTATGATTTCTGCATCGGTGTACTTTTTAATATTTTTTTCTTCTTTTGCAGATGATTTTTTATTTTTATTTTTATTTTTGGCTAAAAAAGGGAAAAAATAAATGTGTAGCTATTTTATTTTTTCCAAATAAAAAATTCATTTATCTATTAACACAAAATTAAAGTAGAGGGGGCGCTCGGGCATCTGCCTAGGCCAAGCATCTAGTTTGATAATTATTACACCCGACGCAACAAAATTATTGTGCACTTTAGATTTTTATTTTTAGTATAATTTAAATTAAAAGTAAATTCAAATTAGAGAATAATTTTGGGACATCATAAGTATGAAAATAACAAAAAAAACTTAAAAAAGTTCGAAACAAATATGATCGGAATGTATCGGCAAATAACGGTTTAATTTTGTATTGGAAGTTTGGAATTTTTTTATCAATCATTTCAAATGACCGGCCCAAATGTAGTGGACTTATTCACCGGATTTTTGTTATCCGTAGCCCATATTAGTTTTCCCTTACGAAAATTAAGGGGGAAAAAATTAATGTAACCAACAAATAGCATTTGGGATTCGACGTCGATTAGGTTTTCCAGTTTCCCCTGAAAAAAATCAGCAGGAATTTCTCTCTAGACCTACAGTTCAATCCTCAAATTTAATGGCAAACCGGTAAAAGCTTAAAAGATCTTCAAATTCCGGTGGCGCTTCTGATATCGACCCCGGTCGACCGGCTTAGTAACCTACCCGAATCAATCATTTGCCACATCTTCTCCTTCCTTCCCACAAAATCAGTGGTTGCAACAAGCTTCTTGTCCAAATGTTGGAAACATCGTTGGACAAAAGTAACCGACTTCCATTTTGACAATCGGTTGTGGCGTTACCAGAGGAAATCTTCTTCCAATAGGCGGGATGAAGTTTGTAGAGTTTGTTAACATGGTTTTGCAGAATCAGGGTGCTGGACTCTCCATCCACAGGTTTCGTCTCGAACTAGAAAACTTAAAATTCGATTCTGATTGTCTTCATACATGGCTTAACACTGCTATTGCCCGAAATCTTCGAGTCTTTGATTTGGATGTTGTCTCTAATTATTGTTCGTATGCCGATGATAAATATGTGTCAGAGTTACCAGGTTCACTCTACACTTGTGGGACACTTGAAGTGTTGAAATTGAGTCGGCCTGGTATCTGTGTTAAAGTGCCCCCCTGTGGTTTGTCTTCCAAAGCTTACTGATTTAGAACTAAAGTGGGTTAGATATGAATTGGGTGAGTCTCTTAATAATCTTATTTCCGGTTTTCCGCTCCTCCCGTCTCTCATAATTGAAAGGTGCCGCAATGATAACTTGGTGGTTTTTACCATTGCTTCCCCAGTGCTTAAGAGTCTTGCTTACAGACATAATGGATGGCACAGTGGATCGAATGTTGATCTTCAACATGAGCTGAAAATCGATACACCTGCCCTCGAGTGTCTGTCACTCGTACAGATGTGTCCCGAGTCAAAGGAGATCATATCTCTGCAACCCTTAACTTCTCTGAATAAAGTGAATGTTAGGCTACAAGAAACGACTGTTGGCTTCATTCAAGCTCTTGAATGTGTGAAGTTTATGAAATTATCATTCGGAACCGTGGCTAATTTTAGTGGAGACTCTAGGAAACTCTCAGCTAGGTTTGAGAGACTAACCGAGTTGGTTGTCGAGATTGACCGCTCTGACCAATTGAACTATCTCATGGATTTGATCGAGTTTTGTACTGCGTTAGAGATACTGAGCATCCGCACTTCCAATGGACGATTTGACGACGGGTGTTGTAGGGAACCTATTATTGTTCCCAGATGCTTGCTTTCCAGTCTCTCAGAAGTTTATTATCGGGGATTTGAAGGCCGAGAAATAGAGATGGCCATGTTTAAGTTCATTTCAAGTCATGCTTTAGTGATGAAAAGACTTGATATATTCCCTTTTGGCTGGCTTGGTTATCATGAAAAAGAAATTAGTTTACTAAAGGAGATGTTCAAGTCCAAGGCGTCTCTCATTCTTAACATCTCAAGTTCTCATTCTCTCATTCTTAAGATCTCTAGATATACAATGTCTATTTTGTTCGGGGACACCCGATGAAAAAAGTGGATCATCTTTTGGGATCTGTACTTTGTTCAAAGTTCAAATCCATTTTAGAACTGCACTGGTTATGTGCTAAAACTACTTTGCCTATTGTCATCTGTGGTTTGTCTTCTTCGAATTTGTAGCTTTGATAGTTTTTTTTGTTCAATTTGTTTGTAGGAAGATGCATTTCATTTCAATTGCTTTAGTGTCCTGGATCATATGTTGCTAGAGTTAGATTGATGTTTCTGGGATTGTTAAGTTTTGTTGGGGAACACAATGCAAATGAACTTTCTATCCGGAGACTTGAAGTGCATTTTGGTTCCAACAGTGTAAATGAAGTTCCTGTAGGTATATTAACTTCTTTAAATTGCGGTAAAGGCGATCCTAATCTGGGTGATTCTGTGTTTTGAAACTCATGAATGATGATCCTCCATGGAAGTCGGGAACAAGCATAACCATGATGTCCTTCACTTCAATTATATTAAAAATGAAAAAAAGAAAAGAAAAGAATAAAGCATTGGAAAACACACACATCAAGAGAAAAACGGAATGAAGAAGTTGGTAGAGTATCAACTAGCAAAGAACCCTGAACCTGATTTCTTCAGTAAAAATTCAGGAAATTCGTTGAAGAAGTGAGCAGAATCCAAAACTTTCATTTTACAGGTACTTTTGGAGCACTTGGAAGAAATTGTAGAAAGGTTTTGAGGCCTACAACGCCGCAAAGAAATGAGCATTGGAGGGGCCGAATATGTATCTGTTCACTGGGCTAAGTTTGTTGTTAGTCCACAAAGTTTTCTTTTCATTTTACAACTTGGGCCCGAGAAGTACTCGTATACGAGATTCTCTGCTTTCAAACATCTGATTAGGGTTTCACAGAAAACGCTGAGGCATCCAGAACGCAGAGACTTAACTCAATGGAAGGAAAGAACGGCGAGAATGTCACCCAAAACCTGCAAAGGTTTGCTGATGATAGTGATGTGATACCAGTTGATCGGATTAGCGATTTACCCGAATCAATCATCTGCCACATCCTCTCCTTTCTTACCACAAAACAGGTCCTAGCAACTAGGTTTTTGTCCAAAAGTTGGAGCCGTCATTGGACTAAAGTCGCCGACTTTGATTTTAGTGATGGATTGTGGTATGATGAAGACAGATTTCCTTACAGGGGCCACAAGCGTCCTGATGATGTTCGCGGTAAGGGTTTCGAAGAATATGTTTCTATGGTTTTGGTCAATCACTGTGATGAAATCCCCATCAATGGGTTTCGCCTCTCTGTTCATAACCCGAAATTTCATCTCCATATCAACCCATGGGTCAGTGCTGCAATAGCCCGACAAATTCGAGTTCTTGATTTGTGGTTGGATTGGTATCATGTTGATCCCTGGGATTTGCATAAGTTTCAGCTACCTGGTGAACTCTATACTTGCGGTACATTACAAGCTCTGAAATTACGAGGATCAGCTATTAGCCTTAAAGTAAGTCGATTGGTTTGTCTTCCAAAACTTAGAGATTTGGAACTAATATGGATTAGGTATGACTCGGATGATTCTTTGAGCAACCTAATCTCTGGTTCTCCAGTCCTCCAATCTCTGAAAATAGACAGGTTTCGGCCTGATAACATGGTGGTTTGTAGAATATCTTCCGCTTCATTAAAACATCTTGAGTACGCACATTCTCGTTACGACTCTGCTATTCGATTCAGAGTGGAAATTGATACACCTGCACTCGAGTATCTACGCTTTGAAGGTCTTGAGCAAAACGAAGTATTTTCTTTCCAAAGGTTGACATCTCTGAATGAATTAAATCTCGAATCCCTTCTTTTTCCACACGAATCGGTTGTTGGGATCATTCCAGCTTTTGATCGCGTGAAGACTATGAAAATATCAAGCAGAGCTATATCAACTCTTTTTGGAGCCACCCCTAACAAACCGTTGGCAAGATTTCAGAGACTGGCCAGTTTGCTCATCAACGTTGACTTCGAAGATGAATTGAGTTGTGTGACGGAGTTGATTCACTGTTGTCCCGCATTAGAGGTCCTCTTCATTGTGAACTGCAGAATTGACGAACAAATTCACAACAGTTGGAGAGATCCTGACACTGTTCCCGAATGCTTGGTATCCAGTCTCACGCATTTTACTCTTGTGGGATTTCAAGGCCTTGAAGTAGAGATGGATATGTTGAAGTTTATTTCAAATCATGCTCTGTTGCTGAAAGAAGTTGATGTAATACACTCAGCAACAATTGATGTAATACAGTCTCCTGACTTGGGCCTTCGTCCCAAGAAAGAGTTCGAGTTGCTTGACAAGATACTCAGGTCTTCTAGATTGTCTCCAGCTTGTAAGATCACCCTTTTCTGACACAACCTTTTAAGTTGTTTCTTCTAGTTGAAAGGTTGCTTTAGTAAAGTTGCAGTTTGTTGTTTTCTGAACTACTTGTGTTGTTCTGTCATCAGAGGTTAAAACTGGCAGATTTCTTTGGGTTTGCAGCTTTAGGTATCTCCTGTTTTGATTTTTTATTTTTTTTACATGTACCTAATACAGCTACTGATCCATCATAAAGAAGATAATGAGCCTTTGAACAAACCAGATTATCAAAAACAATGATTTTTAACAGATTACATAAAAACACAGGTAGCAGTAGCACAACTTAAAAGTCGGGCTATTTGGAATCACTGCTTACATTACAATACCGTCTCACCAAGATTTATATAACTGCCAACATGGCTCTTATTTAATTTTACATATATCTAATACAGCAGGGAACCTTAAAAAACCAACTCATCCTGCATCTTCTACATTAACACAAGCATGCATCCAGCTTTTGATTCAAAACGTTAGCTCTGAATTGCGAGCTCCTTTGCCGGCATTCCCACCATTCTGGGCACATTGTCAATCATTTTGGTTGCCAAGTTCCCGTTTGCAACAACAGGGAGATGCTTCTCATAAGCTGAATTGTGGACACCAATGGCAGCTCTGCCTGAAGGATCAAGATTCTTTGACCATGAAGCATCCCATGCCACGGCTCTAGCCGTGCTGCAGGCAACACTAGCTCCCCCTGGAACAGATTGTACCGCAGAGCTCTGTAACAATGGGGTTTTCAGAATATATGTTAGTTTTTCCAAAGATATAATGACTGTCTGGAAATTTCGTGAATGGTATGAAGGTCACCTGTGGGAAGAACCTCTCAAAAATCATCCTATAGTAGTATGCTTCCTTCGTGGTTGGTGTATTATGAGGGAAGATGTGTTTAGCATTGCTCATCATCTTGTCAGTCACCTGCAAGCACAGATCGATAAATTCATATCAAAATTTGTGGATCCTTTAGTGAATATAAACAATGTTGAAATAAGATGAATCAATCTGCATACATGTTGTTCAGCATGGGCTTTAAGGCCATCAATCCAACTGTAGCCTACACCATCACTGAATTGTTCTTTCTGCCTGTACAGAATATGCTGCAACAGATGGAAACACCCTAAGTTAGTGACACGTTCATCCACAAAAACCTCTTGATGAAGGGGAAAAATTACTGAAATTTTGAACCTTTGGGAGATAAGGGTGCTCTTCATCGTCAAAAGCCCTTCTAAGGATCCATTTCTCAATCCGACCCTGTCCTTTATTAATCTGAAATAGCAGGACACGTGTAAGAAGGCCTTAATTTGTGAAATACGTTTGAAAATAGATCCATTTGATTTGTGGTCTTACCATCTTCCACTCAGGGTCTATGCTCATGGCAACATTGATGAATTCCTTATCCAAGAATGGGACTCGAGCTTCTAAACCCCAGGCAGATGTGGATTTGTTTGCCCTCAAACAGTCATACTGATGAAGGGCCTTTATCTGAATCACAACAAGATAACAGTTAGGTCAAGATGGCTTTGGATCTTCAAAACTTATTTCGATACAAAATAGTTAACATATTGAATTACCTTTTGACATGTTTCCCGGTGGAACTCTTCCTTGTTTGGTGCTTTGTGGAAATACAAATAGCCACCAAATATCTCATCAGATCCTTCACCAGATATCACCATCTTAACCCCGAGAGACTTAATCTTGCGCGACATGAGAAACATCGGAGTGCTGGCTCTGATCGTCGTCACATCGTATGTCTCGATGTGGTAGATGACATCCTCAATTGCATCAATACCGTCCTATATCGTGACACAGAATATATATATAACTGGTCAAAATATGAAACAAGAACTACAGTTATGAAAGCAGCTGTGGAAATTTTAGGATAAGTACCTGGACGGTGAAGTGAAATTCGTGATGGACGGTGCCCAAGTAATCAGCAACTTCTTTGGCAGCCTTCAAATCTGGAGATCCCTGATGAATGCAAAATGTGAATTAGGTACCAAGGAAAAGAAAAACCATCCCGAAGGTCTATTCTAATGTTTAATATTATGGGACAAACCTCAAGACCAACGCAGAAGGAATGAAGCTGTGCTCCCCATTGCTTAGCTGCCTTGGTACCGGACAAGTAGCGGGCGGTAATCGAAGCAACCAAAGATGAATCAAGGCCTCCAGATAGCAATACCCCAAAAGGTACATCAGTCATCAATCTCTTGATCACAGCCTGCATTGATACAAAAGTAAGAGCTCCCATACTTTAGTTCAGAAGTTAAACATAAAAGGGCTTATTCTAGACAGAACATGGAGTTGAATCTCACGTTTTCAAAAGCACGCCTGAGGACGAGGGGATCATAAGGGGTCGAAGGAATAGACTCCGAGAACCATGGAGGATTGTACCATCTCCGGAGGCCACCGGCCTTGCTAGAGTACAAGTGCCCGGGTGGGAAGACCTCGAAATGTTCGCAATCATCGTGCAAACCTTTCAGCTCAGATGCAATCCAAACAGAACCTGATACCATTGTACCAAGAAAGGAAGTCATCATTCATTAACTCTGCTTAGTGATTAGTTTGAAAGACAGAGTCACAGAACAGAGTCTGTGGTAGAAACTGTAAAATTCTCACCATCAAGCCCCCAACCAATATACAGGGATGTAATTCCAATGGCATCCCGAGCAGCAATAAAGCTGTTATCCCGGGTGTCCAGCAGTACAAATGAAAACATCCCGTCTAGCATATCCACAAAATTTTCTCCATGCTCTTCATACTGAAAACAGAGTTTTATCAAGAAAATATTCAAAAAAATTGGCCTCAATCCAAGAAAAACATCCCAAAACTGTGAGTAAAGCTTCAAATTTCTTCCAAACTAAATACTCACAAGATGAGCAATGACGTCGCAATCGCTGCCGGTCCTGAACTTGTGATTAGGCAAACTCTTGCGCAATTGCTCGTGGTTGTAGATCTCTCCATTGACCTGAATAATTTTTTGGGGCCAAAATCCAAATTAGACCCTGTTTATTCAAAGATACTATGCTGGGATGGAAAACAAAAAGGAAAATTGACTCACCGTGACGACGATCTTTTTGTCCTCGTTGTAAAGGGGCTGATCGCCGGAAGCCGGATCAATAATTGCAAGGCGCTGGTGAGCAAGATAGCAATCACCATGCTGGTATATCCCACTCCAATCTGGACCACGATGCTTCAGCCTGTTTCATTCATCACCATGAAAAATTTGTCTATTTTACTTTTCTGAATTTTGCAGGAAAATGGGTTCGATTCAATTCAGTTCAAGGTATAGATAAAATTGAATTAAAACAATTAATAAAAGTAGAAAACTGGGGGGGAACACTGATAAGAGAACTCAAGTGCTTTTTCAGGTGGGCCATCATATCGTGGCGGGCATGCAAATTAGATTAAACAAAGGGTCAGGTCCCACGTTATTTGATCCAGTCATATGTTACAGTTACAGTCAAAAGGTTACTACTACTTGCAACATCATCAGTTCCCCTGCGTCTGGTTTTCACATAATCTAGGAGAAACGGTCGGAGATTCCCATGTTACACAAACATCCATCATTTCTGCTCCGGTCATTTCACCAATTAACCAAATTGTATTTATGTATTCTTAAAGTCACACAACAACATGAAACAAATGGAACGTCGTGAATTATTTTCCAAAAAGACAAAAAAAAAAAAATAGTAAAACAGAGAGATGAGGGAATTTGCCTGCGAGAGAGCTCAAGAACGCGAACCCTTTTGGCCTGAGAATCATCAGAGCAACCCAAAACCGCTAGAATTCCACACATGATGAATTCTCTTCAAATTAATAAAAAAAAAATTTCAAAAATAGAAAAATAAACAATGCAAATTTTGAAGTCAAAAGATGAGTAAAAATAGATAGATATCAAAAAGAAGAAGATGGAATGGATAATAGAGAAAAAGCAAAAGAAAATGGAAGTGAGGAGGAAATGAGAAGGAAGAGGTGATGTGGGGAGAGCAGAGGAAATTGATGCAAAGATGGAGGGGAAGAAGGTTTGAATGAGCTTGATTTTTGGGTTAGAAAAGCTTGACTATTTATAGAAGAAAATCGGGGGATGGGATTTTTAGATGACGCCGAAAATAGAAAACGCTATAAGCGGCGTCGTATCCTCGCTCGCGCTTTTAAGTCTTCATTATACTAATAACTTTCAAGTCTCTCTTCTGTGTTTCATTCAGTTTAAACTAACATTTGTCAAAGGTTCCATTATGGCATCTTCTCTACTCAGACGGGGTCCGGTTATCCGGTATATTCTGGGACCACCATGATGTTGCCACGTGTTCTGCTGATGATGCTGGGTTAAGCTGAATCTTGTGTATATATAAATATTTTTTTTAAAAAAAAAAAAGAAATTGATAATTTGGAGGGAGGGTTTATCCACTTTGAAATTACAGGTTTGCTGACTCAGCTAAGTTAAAAAAAAATATATAGTTGAATTCTTGTAATCTCCATTATTGTGAGGATAAAGGGATGGAAGAGAAAAGTAATGGTAGAGATAACGAAATTATTCATACGAATTAACGGTGCCTAATTTATTAGAAGTTGTCTTGAAAGAGTGATTTTAGGTTTTGATGGATACGATATTAGTTACACATCATTTCTATTGGATAAATTTATCATCATCTTTTTATATCTTTTTAATGAAAAAAAGAAGAAAAAAAAGTTAGTCGGGAAGTGAAAAAAATATTACCACCAGTGAACGGTAAAATTTTCTAGAATAACAAATGGTCTCGAAATTAATTTGCACCGTCAACATTTAGAAGTGAGATTAAAAAAAAAAATTTGTGGTCCTGTAACATTTTTTTTTTTTTTTCAACGAAGATACGTGGCGACAACGATGAATTTCGGGAGGTTTTAACAAGGCAAAGTTTTTATTGGTGAGTCAGAAAAATAAAACAAAATGAGGCAATCACTTTCTAGTTCATCAAAGTCGTAAAGAGCAAAGCATACACTAATACTGGCAGCAATCTTAAGAGTTTGTCAAACGTGAACTAACTGCGACATCTGATTATGAAACATGTACTAAACACATCAAAGTGATTGAGTTGTTAACGGCATTTATTAAACCTTTTTTATTTGGAAAAAAATCTAGGGTTTATGGTTTGTTTTTTTGGTAATTCTTATGATCTTATCCATTGTGACAATGTATTTATGACTATTGATGCATTAATAATTAATTAATTGCATAAAGTGGGGAAAAACAAAAATCCCCAAAAGATTAACCAATCTTTGGCTCTTGTGTGTTCCTCATTCTTACCGGACGTATTAGAGTTTACGATCATGATGGTTTCGTTTCCGTAGAAAAAAGAAAACGCTTTGAGACTGGCCCCATATTTCGTTCAAAATTAAGGTTCATTACGTTGACATGATGATTCTTTTAGTTAAATATACATTAATATTAACTTCCACCAACCAATAATGCTCTCTAAGGGGTAGTAAACTATTATTTTCTTTGTTCAGTATAATTAACCTTTAAAGAGTTTATCATAGTTTACTAAATAATTTTTTTACAAAAGTTTCGTTAAATGATATATGAAATTTTTGTGCTCACCTATCCAAATTCGAGTTAAGCGTGTATTGTCAAAGTCACATTGGACTCCCATCTCAAGACCAATTGATAATGAATGGGATGATTTTTTATACTTATAAATAGGTGACAGATCCTTCACGATGGTGATGTCAAATTCATTGTCCCAACCAGTGTTGTTAAACTCGGTTCGGACCGGTCGGTTCAACCGGTTAAACCGAAAACCGGACCACATGCCGAGCCGAATGACTTGAAAACCACCTTTTCTGTGACTCGGTCAAAACCGATCAAAACCCCAAGTGAATCGGAAATCGAGCAGAACCAGATCGACCCGAGGTTTATGTTTTTTGCACTTTTGGCCAACTTTTTACCTTTTCGCCCCTCGTTTTCCGTGTCTTTCTCCCTCTTTCTTGGTTTAAATATTTGCCCTTTGTTCTTAAATGGCCCAACAACTTTTATTCATGAATTAATTTGTCATTTTAGTCCCAAATTTTCTAGTTCAACTTATAAAAAAACCATATTCAAATTAAAATCTTTTTAAATATTTTTCTCACATATGAAATCCTATATATTATTGTACACAAAATTTAACTATACCTTGAATATGATGAAATTAAATTATATATACACATTTTATTAAAAATAAAAGTTGATTATCTTGTATAACTTTATAAATTTTAATCATAAAGAATTAATATACTTATCTTAAACTGTAGTTACATGCTCTAAAGAACTATTGTTGACTATTACCATAAAAAAAATTCATAAATATTAAGTTTTTCTAATTATTAATATATTTTTAAATTATATATTATTTATTACGTCGTAATGACGTTATCCGAGTCGACCCCCCTGAGTCGACCCAAATCGACCCCTAAAACCCCTAACCCCTATCCTCTCCGAGTCAATGCCTGAGCCGAGTCTGATAACATTGGTTCCAACACCTTCCCTCAAGTCTAATGGGATATTTAGTCCATTGAGGTAACACAACACTTCACGATGGCAATATAATATTTATTGTCCCAACACCCTCCCTCAAGTCCACTAAAGTATTTAGCTCATTGAGCTTGCACAACACAATATAATTCACCAGATATACTGCTGGTTCAGTCTACAACTCCGGATATACTGTCGAGAGATTCAACAAACCCGTACACATAGGTCCACGTTCCAGATATATTGCCAGGTCAGTTCACAAGCCCGCATATACAGGTCAATAGTTATCACAAATCTATAGATCGTTGGCTCTAAAACCATGTCAAAGTCACTTTAGCCTCCCATCTCAAGACCAATTGTCAATGAGTTAGTGGTCTTTAGCACTTATAAATAGGTGATAGATCTTTTACGACGGTGATGTGAGATTCATTGTCCTAACACGTATCCGTAAGTGTTGAAAAATAAAAAATTTTCTGTATAAATACTTTAACAAGTGCAAATGAATACTATCTTAATTAATCGTTTGTTCGGATTGAAATGCATGTTTTAGGTGTAACCAAACAATTGTGGGTTAATTATAATTGTGCCTAACGAGCTGCCGGTTGCTAAGAAGGCAGCTGAAAGGATGGCACCCGATCATAGATTTTTATTCTTTTCTATAATGACAATGACAAATAACTAATGAATTTAAATTAACCTATATTTGGTGGAGTTGCCTAATTTCGAATATATATTGCATTAAACTAATACCACAAAAGAAAGAAAGGGAAAAAAAAAAAAAAAAAAGAACAAGACAACCCAGCATTAGCATTTGGACTCTTCGAAACAGGATTATGCCACAAATAAATTCACTCAAACCGGTAGAGTAACCTTTCTCACAAACGAGAGGATGCATCATTGCAATTTGGCTCTTAATAATTTGAACCATCATTTCTCAATTATTTTTTTTAATGTAATCTCAATTCATTTTTCCATTTTGTGGCCCTCTTTCCATTGGAAAAAATAATAATTTATTCTTTGTACAAAAGTAAATAACATAGCTAATTTCTACAAAACAAATCAAAGGTACATACATAATTAAATATAGTGATTATATGCCGTATTGAGTTGCCGCTTAAATAATTTAAAATGTTTTCACTACAAACAACAAAGCTTTGAAAGTCACAAACTTTCTAACGTAATATATTAACCCGTGGTGCTTGCCTTATAACCTTCACACAAAGTCGTCCTTGTTGTGCTATTGCACTATAAATAATTACTATTCCCTCCGTCCCAAAAAAATAATCCACATTGAGTTTTGAGTTTTGTATTATTTTTAGTATAATTCAAAAACTCAATGTGAACTAATTCTTTGGGACGGAGATAGTATTTGAGAATTAAACTAATAACCATCAATAATTTGACGGAGATCATCAGAAGATTTGCATATCAACCCTTATTTTATTTTTGCATAAATCTCAGAATCTATTGGTACAAACGTCATTCGTATAATTTCACTAATATATAAAATGTAGGATAGAAACGGTCCCCATATAGGAGGGAAAAAAATAAAATTATTAATTATAATTTGTCGAGAAGCTAATTTTACAATAAATGATATCTTTAACAACTTATAATATATGAGACGTTGGGATCCAATATCTGAAAATTCCCCGCTAAAGTTCGACAACAATTTCATGATTCCTGTATATGTTATTGAAGTGGCTAATTATTCGAAAAGTATAAAAGACATTTTGCGTTTTTCTTGCATGTTATAAAGTGCCCAACAAAATGAAGTCCTTTCATTCGAAGCTTTAAATTTTGGCCAAATTGATCAAGTTGGGAGTCTCGCACGCTTACCTTAGATTAGACATTTATGGTATATTCTATTGGAGATTATTAAATTCGTGTTGCTTATGCTGAAACGGTCGAAATAGATGCCCCAAGTATATTCATTGAATCCGGATATTCATTTTCGATACTCAATGACTATAAAAAGTGATCTGCAGATAATATTGTTTTAATTTGTAGGTCCAATACAAATAAATAATCAATAAAATTGTTCAGAAAGTTGTATCCATTAGTAATATAGTTTGGAAGTGATATTGCATCCTTTGCTTACTGTCCATATAACAAAAAGAATGTGTTAAGATAAGCTTTTTTAAAATTCCTGAAAAAATAAAGAACGAGAAAATGGAAGAGAAGATAACATTAATTCTTAGAAACACAATATTACGGTTGAATTAATAGAGCTTAATTTGTTGCTCTGGTGTATTATTGATACGGATGACATCTCTCTACGCCTAACGTGTCATCTGCCCTTTATCCCCCAAATTGATTATTTAACCAATCGGTTTTATGTGTGTGGGTGTGTGTGTGTGTTTTTCCTAGCGTCTTAAAACAATGCAATAAATATATCATTATTATTTGAGATTAGATTACAATACACCATACTCATCATTTCCCTTATTATCCTCAAGGTTCCTTCACATCTGAAAGTCAATAAGATGGATAAGGGATGAAATGGAAGAGATGGTTAAAAATGTGTAGATTAAATTTATACTTCCTCTGTCCCATAATTATTGTCCAGTTTAAGTTTTCATTTCTAGTTCAAAATGTACTAAAACTGAAATTTCAAACTGGACAATAATTTTGGAACTAGGGAATATT